AAAACAGGCGTGAGGTCACTGTGGCCTTGACCTCTGACCACCAACATCTGATCAGTTCATCCTTGAAAACAAAAGTTTTTTTTTTTTTTTTTTTAATTTGAAGAAATTCTCTCAAGGTATTGCATTCACAAGAAAGGGCTAGATGGATGTTTAGACATTTGGACAGACAACCCAAAACTACAAATCGCCAGCACAGATGCATTAAAAAAATACATCCAAGAAAAATTACACACTGTAAAGTTGAAAATATGAAATCTGCAGCATTATCTCAAAGGTCTTCATGACCACAGATGTAAGGGTGATAGATCTCTAGTTGTTCAACCCACTGACAGAGGGTTTCTTGGGAACGTCATACAGCTCCAGTGATCTGTGTGAAGACAGGGGGCTAGCTGTGCAGCACAGGCTTTCAAAAAAGGGCATACCACCTGGGCCCAAGCTGTCTTGATGGCAGGCTCTAATCTTTACAGATCAAACAAATGATTGTTTTAGTGTCCCAGGCCTGTATGAGCAGGCAGCAGAGAGATGAGCATATCCCTTGGACCAGGCCAGAATCATGCTCCTTCTCCAGCCTGTCACTCTAAAGGTTAACGCGTGCATCAGAAAGTCACACCATATCACCACTGAGGTGACTATCATGATGGAGAATAAATGTTTCCTTCTCTGACCGTGGGATGCCTCAAAAGCAGTTCCCAGTTCAAGTGCTGGTCATGGCTATTGTTTTCAATAATTGAAGTATTCTCAGGAAGTCCATGGTGTTATGAGAGCTGACAAATGCTTAGCTTGAAGCACACTTGGGTATGTACAAGAGCATCTCATTTACATATAAAACAAAGAGGCTGGCGCTAAAAAAAAAAAAAATCCCAGCGGAGATACAGCTTTGATACGCTCAGGGCATTCAGTATAGGTCGAGCACTTGCTTACTGTGAGATAAACCTTTGTAGCTCAGTTGATTAATGCATTATATAGTAGAAGGCAAGAACAACATGAATTCATTAGCTTTTTGACACATCCTTTAAATCTAATATACTGTATATCCATAACAAGACTGACACTCTACAGCCTCTCTGGCTATACACAGCTCTGTGAGGCTGTCAGAGTCGTGCTCCGAGCAAAATGCTGCATGCTTACAGTACATGCTCACTATGACAGAGAACAAGTCAAGGGATCCTCAAAGTCAGTAGGCTTCATCCTCAGGATACCATGAATGTCTTTACCAAATTTCATGGCAAATCATCTGGTAGTTGCTGAGGACCAGTCTGGACCAAAGTGGTGGATGACCATAAATGCAATTGAAAAATATTAGAATAAGTTAAGTTCTTTCTCTCTCTTTACAAATAATCCATCACAGTTGCAAACAGCAGAGGTCTGCAGGTAGCCTTGTCTTTCTTCTGACTCAGTCACTAGTAAACCACAATGCATCCGCTGTGGCATTTCTGCAGCAGACTTGACTGGATAGAAACTTACAATGTTTATTCGCTCTTCCAGATACGAGGGAAGAGGAGGATCTACTTCAAACATGGACATGGTGTGTGTTTTCTTATTCCACTGAGCAATTTATCAATAAATTCTTGATGTGGAGTTCGCAAGGAAAGTTTGGGGTAGACAGAATTGAATATTCAACACATCTTCTCTCTTCATAATAGTGCCCCTGTTTTTACAGTCTAGCATGCATACATCCTGTCTCCAACCATCCAAACACTGCACTCAGCACCATGCGCCGACGTGACTGCAATGTGCCAGAGCCAAGGATGTTGTAAAGGCATTCCCCTCTCTACCCTGTCATGTTTTTTCTATTTATAACTCGTATCTGTGTCTCTAATACATCAATATGAACACAGAGACCTCAAAATACAGGCAGACAAAAACAAAACATTTTACAGCCTCAAAATATCAAAGGATCGTTTCAATTAAAAGGCACAATTTGTTTTGATGATTTATTCTAACTGTTTTTAAGACTGCAATAAATGGCTTTTTTCATTATCAGTTTGTCAGTTTTTGGATTTTGTTTCTTTTGAATAAACCCTGGGCAGCTGTTTTCCTTGTTCCAGTCTTCGTGCTAAGCTAAGCTAACCAGCTGGTGGAAATGGTTTCAGCTTTTTTTGCAGACAGACATGAAAGTGGTATCAATGTTGTTATCTCTGCAGCTATCAACAAAAAAGCAAACATACATGTATATTTCAAAATGTCAAACTATTCCTTTAAATGACATGTTTGGTTTTCTTGTTTGTCCAACCAAATGTTTAAAATAACATAAAACTGTCAAGAACAGTCCTTTTGCACACGTCAGATATTTGGCAATGTTGCATGACAGATGATTTAAATAATTAATAAGTCATTAAATAGTTGCAGATTAGTTCTCTGCAAACTGATCAACTGTTCCTTTCAGCACTAAATTGCTTTGCTGAGTAAAATCCCAGCCTGCGCAAATCATATGATTAGCCCCTGGACCTTGTGTTTTCTATAACAGAACAATCTCGGATAAGTCAGTGAAGAAAAAGTCTTTAACGCAAGTGGTTTGGAGAAACTCCAGTTATTACAAATCACGATTCAGAACATGGCCACCCACATTTGGCAGATGGGCTGCTGCAGCAGTGCCAGGCCTCAAAACGTCCAGCCGGTGTATTAGTCACCTGCCAGTCAGCACTGGGTGAAGGCCAGAAATGGAAAAACTAGCCTGTCAGGACTAAACATTAGATGCTACAGTAGCAGCCACAAACACCACATCAGATACAACCTTTTAGGCCTCTCTGAGGACAGGAACAGGTGACTATAGACTGACATCTCTGCCTCCTAGCAGGCACTGACTATTCCAGTAAATCAGTCATGCTTTTTAAGGAAAGATATAAGAGGATTTAACTCCTTCATGGTTTACAATGTGTGAGAAGGATGGGCTTTTTCCTTTGATCCCTAAGAGCCAAAATGAGTCACATCTCTTTCTCTGGTCTAATATTACACAAAAGCAAAGGAAGGAAGGGGGAAGAGGAATGTGAAGAGAGAGCCACAGATACTATACAATATGTGTGGGAGAGATACAAGGTGATAAAACTAAAGGGAGTGAGGCAAGTGCTATGCAGCCGTACCCATAATGTGGTACAGCTGCAGAAATGAGATGAGATCATTTGTGGCATTAGGGGAGTGCGAAATAAAATTGGGGGTTTGCATTTTGTGCTGTACCCCCACTCCTGATCTCTATTTTAAAAGAACACAACAGACAGAGAGAGCTCATCGTCAGTCACAAAAAAACCATAATGCTACAAGACCAACTGTGTCTTTTGGAAACACAAAGGAGGGGAAAAAGGACTTAAGGTAAGGTCTCTAGGCTCAGACAAATGATTCCCTATAACACTTTGGAAGAAGAGAAATATTTTACAATTCAAATGCAAAGCAACACTTAGTTATTACGTTTTCATGAAATTAAAAATCCTTCACTTTTTCTCCTAATTACCAATGTTAGTATAAAAGCTGTTTATTTTATGACTTAAACTTTAAAGAAATGTCTTAAGTGAGTTAAGAGTAGATCTTAGATGTCTGCAGTGCAGAAATAAGGTGAGATCACGTTGTCTGGGACATGTTTTCAAGAGACTGTTAAAAAAAAAATTGCTGGTTGTGCTTGTTGTTGGTTTATTATTGATTTTGTTTATAGTCGCTTTCCATGCAGCTTTATTGCCGGAATAATCAATGTGATACTATGCTCTCTTTACAGCAGCAGCAGAATTTTTTTTTAGGTTCGATTTCTGCCAGCATCATCCCTTTTAACATAATTATACATTTAAATGTTATAGTTTTGGGGGTATAGAGACATGGCAGGGTCCCCCATAATGCCCCTCTGGGCTGGTTGTATATAGTCAGGGGTTGGTGGGTTTTTGTGTGTGTGTGTCCAGTGCTTGGTTGCTGCTGTGTGTTCCCCAGATGTGTGTGCAATAAAATAGTAGCTCACAAGAGAGCAGAAAAGGCAAACTGCTATCCAGCTCCTACTTCAACCCAGCCGACATTACAGAATGACAGATTTTGGTGAATTTCATGCAGTAAGTGTTGCTGAACACCTTATGTAGAAAAAACAAACCCTTTCAAAATGTTAAATTATTTATTTGTGTAGAATCAATAAGGAAAAATAAAAAGAACGGAAAGATGGACTTAGCCATTTGATTAGCACAGGAAAGATGGACTCTGGCATGTGATTGGGTTATCAAAGATGGACCCAGATATGTGGCTGGCTGAATTTATACAGACTCTTGCTTGTCAGGTAGCGCCAATAATATGGCAGATGTAGTTTATATCCTTGTCTCCAGTTGGCAATTCTTGCTAAAAATCATGTATGTGACTGAGGTCATTCTGACATTCATAATCAGTTTTGCTCCTGTTTGCATCCACTGCAAATGCAAAAAAAAAAGGTGTGACATCCTATTATGACAGTCAAATGCTAATAGTGAGCCAAAGTTATCCTATTCTGAATTATACATATTATCAAACTGAACCAGGTCAATGAGTTATCTGCGCAGGCAGAGGCAAGAAAAGTGAAAACCGCAAAGACTTCCGACTGACTTTGGTCCTGTAGTTTCCAGGTTAGAAGCTGTGAACACATATAACACTGGAGCTGTGATCCAGAGATTTTAACATAACCGGAACATGCCCCAAAGCTGAAACTGCATTCACAGGTGGTTACGGCTTCTCCAGCTGCCAAACCATAAGCGCGATCAGTGACAAGGTTTGGAGTTTCAGCGCACTCTGACTTTGTGTTAAAATGTTGAAGTGACAGCTTGAGAGCTCTTTACAGGTTTAGAGATCATGTGCTGTAGCTAGAGCATGACATATCAGGAGTTCATAATGTTGTATGCTTGTGTAGCATGTATACTGATCCACACGTGGTGATCCCAACAGGAACGAAACAAAACATCTGTTTCTGCATGTAAGAACCTGCATGAGTCACTCTCTCAGGTAGTATTGCTTTGATCAGGAGAGTCGGATTAGCGTCTGAGTGTGAGCATTCAGAAGACACTCACCACAAGAGAGAGCGGCCTCTTCCATGACACCACTCCGATCAGTCCAGAGAGCAGCACCTGGCAGAGAAAACCCAAAACAAATGCTTTAGGGGTGAATATGCTGACAAGTCAATGAAAACACAGATGACCATACATTACATTAGAATATATTCTAACCCTGTGATTATATTAAAGGTCATTTCCTACAACGTGTGTCTTATTTTTCTATATTTTCGTAGTTTTGGCCATCACTCATGTTGGTAATAATGCCAAAAGTATTGTGGGAAAATGCAGCATTGCTAAAGGAAAAAAAAGTTTGATGGGACAAGAAGCATTTATATTTTTATATATATTTATATTATAGTAAGCGGCCTCTTCCATGACACCACTCCGATCAGTCCAGAGAGCAGCACCTGGCAGAGAAAACCCAAAACAAATGCTTTAGGGGTGAATATGCTGACAAGTCAATGAAAACACAGATGACCATACATTACATTAGAATATATTCTAACCCTGTGATTATATTAAAGGTCATTTCCTACAACGTGTGTCTTATTTTTCTATATTTTCGTAGTTTTGGCCATCACTCATGTTGGTAATAATGCCAAAAGTATTGTGGGAAAATGCAGCATTGCTAAAGGAAAAAAAAGTTTGATGGGACAAGAAGCATTTATAGTATTATATATATTTATATTATAGTAACTCTCACCCCAAGATCCATCTTAATGTACTTTATATATTGCTAGATTGACTTTGTATGTATTTGCCTTACATCTTTGTCCACTTTGACTCAGAAAAGTATTTTTCTCTCTTTAAAGTTTGTTGTCCTTGATGTGAGAAGCACCTAAATCAGCTGCACATTCTAAAACAATATGCTTATAAGTCCTTTAACACGCGAGATAGGTGAGTCAAACCTATATAAAAGAGAGCACAAAGGTCAGTGGCAAAAGCTATTACAAAAACTCATGGGTATAAACATCCGTCACAGTTTATGAAAGAACATCCTGGTTTAACTTTGACATACCGGTACCTTAATACTTTATTGATCCCCCACAGGTCGAAAGTCAGGTGTTACAAAAGCAGGGCAGAAATTACAGTACAATAAAATATAATACATAAAAGCTAGGATACTGTAAAGTACACAGTGAAACAATAGTAAAAATACTAAAGATTAATTACCATCATCATCACCAAGTGTGTGTGTGACACTTGTGCCGACTAAAGTTCAGACTGTGGTGACAGGGAGGCTTCAACCACCTTAAAATAACCAGTGTCGTTTAGCTGTGCAGTCAAAATAAATCAGTCTGTACTTATTGGGTTATTTGAGTTTGCTGGGAGCAGTGATGTACTGTAAGGTGTGTGTCTAATGCTGGCAGAGACAAAGGACCTGCTGCAGCCATTTTTCACACACTGCGGGTAGAACAGTCTGTTGGTGAAGGTGCTGCTCAGGGTGTCCTCCAAGTGTACTTACTATTTTAGCAGTTTTCCTGCACAGTGATGTAGTTGTAGGAGAAGTGGCAAAAAGCTGCAATTTAAAATAAAATGATCCTGATTCATGATTGAATACAATGCCTGAACAATGCTGCACAGCTCAGTGGTTGTTTTGAGTTTCATTATGGGAGTCGAATCTTTGGTTTCTCTACTAAATACACTGTTTGAAAAGATCCGCTTCTACATTATGGCTTTGAGCCAATACACAGATCAGGTAGGAATTGTCGCTTTTGTTTGGCAATTCTGTTCTCATCTGCCATCAGACTTGTCATCCATGTTCCAGTGTGAATATGGATCTCTTCCCCCACCTGTTCATCATGTATTCACTGGCTCACTCTTCCACAGATTCTTTCCCATTTAGCCTGGTGGAAATTATCAATGTAATCCTATATTTTGAGGTGGTTAATGGCGCATAATTAACACAGCAAGCTTTTGTACAACTGTAATGTGCATGAGTGCAATTTTTCACAGATGACTAGGATTTTAAAAGATATTCTGTGTTCCCAACTTCTAATAACTATGATTCACTCCTAACACAACCTGATCCCTCATCCAGGAAACTGTGCACTCACTCGTTTCCTTTGGCTCCTGCCAGAAATTGAAATGTGCTGCAGAGTCTGGTGAAAGTAGACAGACTGATTGCAGTGTCAACTTCACAGACATTTTGGTTTTGTTCATTTGTTTACTGTGATTTACAACACAGACGACACCGCAGTTTGGCCAAGAAGATTTCAGGCATCACCTCCTTACTGAAGAGGTAGTTACAGATTTCTTTCATTTGGTTAGACTTTTGTGGACCCCACAGATCGAAATAGGAACATTAAAGCTTCTGCTCTTGAAATACGCAGTCACTATAATGTGAAATACTGTAACGTGCAAAAAGATGGCAACGACTGATACTATTGTACCAGCAGCTGTATGTTGTCATGTGCTCTGCTCTGATTTCTTTGCGCTTTAAACAAATATTTTCAAGCATTTATTCATTTTCTTAACCACATACAATTACAGTGAGCTGAGCTTATTCCAGAGGCACAGAACTTGAGTGACGATTTGACTCGAGTCACTTACGGTCACATATCTGAAGACCTGAGACTGGTAAAAGTCTCGACTTGACTTTGTATTGATGATCTGAGATTTGACTTAGACTTCAGACAGATGGCTCAAAATTAATTCACTTTTTTAATTAAATATTTGCATTTATTAGATAGAGAAGCTCCATTTTGTTTTTGAAACACAACTGGGTGATTTCTAGTGCAATACGCGCAAACCTGGCAACCTAGGAGAACGCTGCAGACTAACAGAAGGCAACACAGGTTGCAGCTATGGTGGAGGGCCTATAACGGTAGTAAAATGAGGACAGTAGTATGCGAAGTCTGCAGTGTAAAAATCAGCAACACAGCCACCTCGACACCCAACTTCATCTGTCAATGCAAAACTCACAAAGAAAGCTCACTGCTGTATGTGAATGTGTCTTTTCAGCAAACATTAGCTATATTATTGGCTGCTCAGACATTAGCTAGAAAGCTAATGTTAAGTTCATGCTGTTCGACTTGTCCTCTAATTGATTATGCATTATAATGAGAAAGGTTTCTGATAACCAGGAAAGCCATGAGTGCCTTTTTAATTCATTAGCCAAGGATTATTCAGGAGCCTACAAATGCACAGTTAATAATCAAAGGTGGTTTGTGAAATTTAAACTTTTTGTGGCCACCGTCTTTTCAGAGATTTAAATGTGGAAACTGGGGTAGATATCAGAATTTTGTACTTTATTTGCTTGATTCTCACAGTAACTTGGGACTTGCTTGAGACTTGAAGGTTAAGACACGCACGTGTGTGACTTACTCCCACCTCTCTCTTATTGGGCTAAAACCTGAAAATGGATGTATTTTTCACCAGTGATATGTAATGATTTTGGAAGCCATAGACAGCATGATCATGCTGACAGGAGTGTCAGCTAAGATGATGCTTTTTAATGTGTTGTTCTGCTGGACCATTACACACAACGTATTTTGTCCTTCACTTTAGAGGATCTTCTCTTACTACCAGGGTGACTTCATCAGACTGTCTCTCTGGACTTATTGGTGCTCCAGCTTTCTCCATTAGCACTAATTTGCATTTAGTTTTGTGCTCCATCTACCTGAAACCAATTACCCTGAAGCTAGATGCTGTGGCTGAAATGAAACAATTCAAGCTAGCCAGACCCACCTTGCTGTGAGCTCCGTGCTTCCCTTTAATATTTATTACTACCGTCTGTTATCAGTCTGTCTGGAATTAAATCCACATACCAACATGTACATGTTTATGTTTTGTAAGGATGTAACTCTAAACAGCAGATGTTTCTTAAATGAGATGCCTAATTCAGCAAAATTTATAACTGAAAAAAAAAAAAAAACTCATTGGTTGCATTTTTTAGTAACTGCTACAGTAGGTGTGAATTCCCATATTATAAAAATGAGTGTGAACAAAGGGTACCCATAGCCTCCAGCAGTCTGTTCTGCCATGGCCGCTCTCTGTCTTTCACCTTTCTTCACCCTCCATTAAACACCAGCCTGCTCTTCCCTGTCTTGCTCTCCCTCCTTCATTCCCTTCATTTTGATGAGCCACCTTCTCTCTTTTTGCCGTCTTTCACCTTCCCCCATATATCACATCTCTGTACTTCTTGCTCCTGCTCTGCCACACAGTCACAGCATATTTCTATTTCTACACTTACTTCCACTGCTCTCTATGCAGCCTTCCTCATTTCTGTTTTCCTCTCCATCTTGTTCCACTCGCTAGTCAATCTTTCACTTCTTCACTCTACTTGATACCCACAGGACTCAGTAAACGGGATGCGAATATTTCATTTGAACACACACACACACACACACACACACACACACACACAAACATAAACATACACACAGGCTTAGAAAGCCAGAAAAACAGAAACCATGATTGAAGAATAACACTGCTGATATTTTCATCAACAACAAATTTATCCACCTAACACATACAGTACTGTATTGCCATGCCAAGGAACTCCATCATCCAAAAATTATAGCCAATTAAACACACACACAAAAACATATTGCTGTTGGCACACTGTTTTAGTTTAGTGTCAGTGTAACACTATGACTATTAAACCTTTGTTACTAACTTGATAAGATTCTCTATCCATCCATTATCCATATTGTGTATTCTTAAACAGGGTTGCGGGGGCACTGGAGCCAATCCCAGCTAACACTGGGCGAGAGGCAGGGTACACCCTGGACAGGTTGCCAGTCACAGGGCTGACAGAGACAGACAACAACACACACACAAACAATCTAGAGTTACCAATCAGCCTAACCTGCATGTTCTTGGAATGTGGCAGGAAGCTGGAGTATCCAGAGAGAACCCACGCAGGCACAGGGAGAACATGCAAACTCTGCACAGAAGGGCACTGGGTCAGCTGGGGCTCAGACCCAGAACCTTCTTGCTGTGAGGTGAAAGCACTAACCACTTTCCCACCATGCCACCCTCATCATATAATTTTTACTACTAAATCCTAAAAACAACAACAACAACAAAAAAACAAAACAATACAGTACTCTTATCAAAGGTGGCGC